TTTTTAGCCAAATGATGCTTGTTTTATTATTATATTCCATAATTTCATGTTAGTATAGCAGATATCACAATAAGAAAATATAGATGGGGCTGTGCTGATGATGTCTTTTTTTTTTTAAGTTAGTGCGGGGTCCCTGGGTTCACTCCGGGAAAGGTTTCTCCAGAGCTCCCCTCTCAGCGGCACACGGCGAGTTCCCCAGGTTGAGTTTCTCCACGAGACAGAGATTCAGTGCAGGTTTATTAGGGAAAAGGACAGAGGAATAAAAGATACTTGCATAGCCATAAATGGGCAGGAAGAGCTGCCCCAAAGGGACAGGGCTTGCTGACAAGCCTGCATGGGTGCAAGAAGTGGCCTTAGGAGAGCAGCCTCCACTGAGGGGGGTTAGTGCAGAGAAGTCCCGGCAGGTACAGGTCACGGGCAGACAGGAGGCTGCTGCCCTGCAGAGGGAGACAATGGGTGGAAAGAAGCACCTGCATAGGCATAGGTGGGCAGAAGTCGGCTGCCCTGGGCCAGGGCAGGGACTGCACTGATGTAGACTCCTCTTGGGGAGGGGCTCACTCCTTGAGCCTAGGTTTGTTGATTTTGAATGGAATCTGCAAGGGGCATGTGATCCCACAATGGGTTCCATCTACGTATCTTTATCTTTCACCTTTTGAGTTTGTGACAGACACAGTCCACAGCAGTCTGATCCCTGCTTTGATCTTATGCTTGTAATATAGGCACAGGCACCTAAAAATCATGATTTCCATAGGCAGGTCAACAGCTATGTTCATCCCTTCTACCCCCAACTACTCATGTGAGTCAATCCTGTGAGGCCTCCTTTCTATTCCTTCCACCATCACTTCATGTTTCATTTTTCAGAGCGATGACGGGGAGTAGCCCTCACTAGGCACCTACCCTTGCTAGGAACCCAAACAGTACAACCACTATGAAAAGCTGTTTGGAGGTTTCTCAAACTGCTAAAACTGGAGCTTCCATATGATCCAGCAATTTCACTCCTAGGGATCTACCCAAAGGGACATAAAAACATTAATTCAGGCCCTCTCTGGTGGCGAAAGGGTTTTTTAAAGCTCAGCACTGCTAGCTAGCCATAACCGCTTCAGTGCTAGTTAGATCCACAACCCAGAGGTGACCCACATGGTGCAGCAGATCTCTCCTGTCTCCCCACTGTTCCCCTTAGCAGTGTATATCATCAATCTGCTGTCCTGGTCCTCACTCTGTCTCTGGTGAATCCTTTCACCATCCCTGCGCACCTCTGGCTGTACCCCAGTTCTGTGTGCATAAATAAAATAAATCTTTAAAAAAAAAAAAACTTGAGTTTAAAAAAAAATTAATTCAAAAGGACACCTGCACCCCTATGTTTACTGCTGCACTACTTACAATATGGAAGATGTAAAATCAACCAAAATGCCCAAAATTAGGTGACTGGATCAAGAAGATATGGTACGTCTACACAATGGAATATTACTTCAGCAATCAAAAAAGATAAACTCATGCCATTTTCGGCAACATAGATGGATCTGGAAGAGATCATGCTTAGTGAAATAAGCCAAAAAGAAAAAGAAAAACACTGGATGGCTTCACTCACAGCAGTGTAATGGATCAGGTGGGAAAAAAAGAAATTGTAATACAGTAAAAATGAAAACAACAACTATAAACCAGAGACATTCTAGTGGGGTGAAGAGGGGAACAAGAGCAAAACTGGAGGGGGAAGAGCACACAGAACTAGGGTGATAGCACACGGGTACGCTGGTGGTGGGAAGTCCACGGGGATTACAATCGAGATGAAGAAATGCACAAGATGAAGAATGATATATATAATTTTAAGAATTATATATAAAAAAAGGAACCCTAACAACTACAAAACATGAGCAAAAACCACATGGGAGGACACTGCTGGCCTTTTAGTCTGAAGGTTTTCCCAGAATGATCCCAATTCTCACATATTTCCTCCCACCAGCCTCATAAACTTCAGATCATCCTAGCAACTCCAAGAGGCTTCACTCTGAGTCATGGGGGGGGCCTGTGCCCTTAGCCACAGCCTCTGCTCTCCAGCCTATTTTCTTTTGGGCAGCTGTGTGACCTTCAGCCCATCATTTAACTTCTTAGTTTTGGCATTAGCTGTAAAGAGACAGCAGGACTGGAAGTGAGCCCTGCACTCAAGGCAGCGCCTTGCACACAGTAGGCATTCTGCAACTTGAAGATGAGAAAGAACTGGAAGCGGGGGATGCCACAGCCTGAATTCCTCCACCCCATTTGTGCTTTCCTTGACCCTAGCTCCTGCGAGCAAATTCTGGTCAAGGTGTGGGTGCTTGACAAACTGTCCTTTACATGCCAACTCTAACAACGCTTCCTTTGGGAAACTCTCTGGATACTTCCTCACCACAAAACCACTGCTCCCTCCTGTATCTACTGTACGTTAGTGTCTGTATGACATCTGTGCCCTAGACTTCATTCTGATGAAATCTGTCTCATGATTTCTGGTCTCCAAAGGAAGCAAACAAACCGCGGCCTCTGGGCTAGGCCTCTTCCCACTGCCTTATTTATCATGATGGCACCTGGCTAGAAAGGCCCGGTCTTCCTAGACGGTGTGAAAACCACAGCTCTGTTTTTCCTCTTTGTTTTTTAACGTTTCTAATTTAGGAGCACAATGTGTACCTTGAAGCAAAAGTGGCTTTACAACATTTGGTTGAACCTAAGGCAAGGGGGAGGGGAAGGGAACCCTCACCAGAAACCTTCACAGGAAACAGGAAGTGCTGCTTCCCCACCCCCATCCTGCATGATGAGCATAACCCAAATTATTCTGTACAATTTAGGTCAAAGGACAGAATCTGAATCAAGGACTTTTTGAATTGGAAGAAAACTCTGAAATCATGGTATAGTCTCTGGCAAAATGGAGGTGCTTTGTCACAAGGTGGCCAAGCTACCGCAGGCCGGTCCCCCCATGGCTCTTGGTGAGGGGCACAAAGGCAAGGTTTGGAATCCCACAGACTGTCATCAGGAATGCTCTGAATGCCTCACAGCTCTAAGGGCTGGGGGTTGGAATACCAGCCTGAATTGTCCAGGGGAAACAGCTGACTAACAATGTCAGCTGGGGAATATTTTGATACCTTCCTATCGGGGCCCAAGTAGGAAGAGGCTGCACAAAGAGCTCTGCGCCTGGAGAGCCCAAGGAATGGTACACGAGTGCTGCCGCGCTGCCCACATTCTCCTCATAGCTAGATAAAGTGGCTCCCAAAGAGGTTTCCAGATCCGTCCCAGTGGGCACCATCAGAAGTGACTCCAAGGGAAACTTCCAGCTGTGAAGGGCTAACAAAGCTAGGGCTCTCTCCATTTGAATGTGAAAGACCCGCCTCAATCAGAGAAGGCCCTTAAGCCATAAAACCCTTCACACCAAGGCCAAGTGTCACACTTGTAAGAGGGTGTGATTTATAAACTGACAGCACCCACAAAGCTGCTTTTGTACTCCTCCTTAGTTAACAATTTATCACCCCCCCCCCCAACACACACCAAACTCACGGAGCTATTCAGATAAAGCTTGACTGGGCCTCAAAAAGAAAGAAAGGAAGGAAAAAAGAAAAGGACTCAAGTTTTGGCCAAAACACCAATGTTCACTCTGGATAATTATGGTCCTGTGAATAGACACTAAAATTAGGGTTTAATAATTCCTCTGTATCACACTCACAGCATCGAACTGTTCCAATACAAACATAAAAAGAAAATCTCCAAGCAGCCTTGCTGGAAACTCAAAGAGTTCCACTTCTGTGGTTTCTGCAGTCTCTTTTGTGGTTTCTGCACTCTTAGAATCCCCCTTTAGAGCCATTTTAACTCCAAGTTCTGACCAGCTGTTTTTCTTTCTCAACAACTGAATTCACAGAGCAGAGAGTAAATAGGGTTTGGTCATGTCTTTCCTTTCAATGATGCTGATTCTGGCCAGATCCTGGCCATTTTGCCCTGCTTTCCTCTCACAGGATTCCCTCCTCAGTTCCCAAAGCCAACTACGAAATCCAGTATCTTCTCATTCCCTTCCACTCCATTCTACTGAATAACTTGAAATTACTGCACTGAATCTAAGCAGTCTAAGCCCCAAACAAAACTTAGTGGAAAAAAAAAAAAAATACACACCTGACAAAATTTGTGAACATCAAGGCCTTCTTTGTGAGGAGGGAAAAACTTTTTGGAAAAAAAAAAGCAATTCAAGTTCAGGGCATCCCTGGTGGTGTAAGGAGTTAAAGTGCAACACTGAGAAGCTCTCCCACAGCCACTGCAGCACAAGTTTGATGCCTGATCCTGGGTCAGGGATGTGACCCACAGGGCGCAGCAGACCTCTCCTGTCTGGCACACTGCTTCCCTCAGTAGATCTGTTTCAGTACATCGGCCTGTTCTGCTCCCCATTGTGTCTCTGGTGAATCCTCTCACCCCCACACCTCTGGCCTGTGCCCCAGTTCTCCTATGCATAAATATATAAATGTATTTAAAAAAAAAATTCAAGTTGGACTCTTTCTTGCCTCCAAAAGATCTTTATAAACTGCCTATCAGTCAGAAATGAAATTCTTTTTGTACAAAAGTAATGGTCTTTTGTACAATGCTGATCAACTGTCTGACTGCTCCCCGTGCAGGAGGTCCAAGGGTGGCCACAAGTTGAGTCCCTTTTAGCCCTCACAGTGGTGACAAGAACAGCATTCAAACCGAGCAAGCAGGAACGCAAGGCAGTTAGATTTGGGACACAGAATACGAAAAAATCCCTGCATATCAGATTCTCTTGAAAAATCACATCTGGCATGTGGGTCCACATGGCTGCCTGACAACAACTGGCTGGCACTAAGCAACAGCTGCACCCCCTCACCCCCTAATTTAATGGGACAAGCGCGGCCCAGTCTGTTCAGGAGGTCCTTCCCCTCAAGAGGAACCATCTTCCATCCTTGCCCTTGGGCTGCTGTCCCTCCCTCCCAAGGTCTCAGGTGTCATACTCTACGTGCACATGCGCACTGCACACATACCTTTTTGACCATGGTTGTCTCAGGTGAATCAAGTTTTGCTCTCTTGGTATCAGGCCCATCTTCTACTCCTTGGCTAACTTTGGCAACTTTGGTCTTTTCTCTGGAAGATAACAAGCGAAGGTAACTGAGTTCTACCCTAATACAAAGAACATCACCAGTTCACACTACAGGGTGGTAGTTAAAGAGTAAAGGCTTTGAGGTCAGGCAGATCTGGGTTCAAATCCTAGCTCCTCCACTGATCACCTGATGAGTCAGTTACCCACAATGTAGGAATAACGCTGACAGCACTGATACAAGAAAAATAACATAAATGGCTTAGCACAGGGACCGCCTTAGTGGCCTAAGGGTTAAGTCTCACTGCTACCACAGCAAAGACCCACCATGACAGTGTGAGTCCAATCCCCAGCAGGAAGGTGTTCCACCTGGCACAGAAACCTCTGTCTCACCCGCTGCTCAGTGGATTTCAGTGTATTTGCTTATTCTGCACTTCACTCTCTCTGAGGAACTTTCTCACCACCCCCACACCTCTGGCCTGCACCCCAGTTGTTCTACACAAAAAATGAAATCCTAAAATAAATGATTCAGCACACTATCATATACTAAGCTCTCAAAAAAACCTTGTAACTGTTTCACTGGAATCAGGAAATAGTCAAATTCAACTCCTTCCTGCTGCCAATGGGGAGCTCACATTAAAATAATCTGCCCAGGCCCTTCCTGGTGGCACAGTGGGTTAAAGCACTGCACTGAGAAGCTTAAGCCAATTCCGCATGAGTTCGATCCCCGCCTGCCCTGGAAGAGATCCACATGGCGTGGCAGACCTCTCCTGCCCGCCCGCTGCTCCCCTCAGCAGTGTACTTCAACGATCTGCCTGTTCTGCTCCCTACTCTGTCTCTGGTGAATCCTCTCACCCTCCGCATCTCTGGCCTGTATCCCAGTTCTGTATGAATAAATAATCTTTAAAAATAAATAAATAAATAATCTGCACATAAAGCACTAGTGTTGGGCCTCCCTGGTAGCCTAGGGGTTGTCTCAGTGCTACCACAGCTACAGCTTGAGTTCAATACCTGGCCAGGGAGCTGACCCACATATGGCACGGCAGAACTCTCCTGTCTCCTCACTGCTCCCCTCAGCAGAGTACTTCAGTAAACCCACCTGTTCTGCTCCCCACTGTCTTCGGTGAGTCTTTTCACCCTCCCACCCTGCACCTCTGGCCTACATCCCAATTCTTCTAAGCAAACAAAAATAGTGTTACAAGAGATCTTGAACATGTCTGTCCTGTCCCCATCTTGATTTTATATAAGCGAAACATTTGCAGATCAGGGGAATTTCTGTGACTTGCCTATGAAGCTGAACAAAAGCAAGCAGCTCCTGGCTCTTGGTAGGAAAAGTCACCTACCACATATGTTCTCTACTTCTCATTGGTAAGGGGGTGGTCAGAAAATACAGCCTAAAAAACCAACTCACTGAGTTTTACAATATTGAGATGACCTGCCATCTATCATCTAGAAGCTACAAGTTCCAACTGCTGCAGGCCCCGTCATGTGAGAACCACCACAGACTGCAACCCCAATGTGTAGAATAAGAGGACGAAGTCTGTTTGTTCCATGAGAGCAGTCTCTGGACCTTGGAGGTTTTCCAAGGTAGACTCTGGCTCACAGTGCACCACAGCAGACTGCTAAACGTTTGTACTCATTTTACTATCTCTCAACCTGAAACATGCAAGCCCAAACAGGTAAAAAAATTTTAAAACCCAAGTAAGACATCCCCCCGCCCCCCAAATAAGAGAGTGCGGCTTCACCTGATCAAATACCCATGTGATCTAGTATGATTCTGTTCTGCATGACTTAGGTTTGATCGTTTCAGAAGAAAACAGAAGCCACAATCCTCCTAAATCTAAACACATGTTAAATGTGTCAGTGCTAGCAAACTATCACCAGCCACTGCAGCAAGAGTTCGATCCCTGGCTAGGGAACTGACCCACATGGTGCAAACAGGCCACTCCAGTCTTCCCACTGCTCCCCTCAGTTGGTTTGCCTGTTCTGCTCTCCACTCTGCCTCTGAGTAATCCTCTCACCTTCTGTACCTCTGGCTGGTACTCCCGCTCTTGTATGCATAAATAAAAATAAATCTTTTTTTAAAAGGTTCATTTCCTCTCAGTGAAATACTGTATTTTGAGATGTTCTCTTCTCCTGCCTCTTCCAACACTTACTCTACAAATTCATGCTCTCCAAGATTGGCAAATGTGTATCCATGGTAGCCAAAAACATCTCCTGTAAAGAACTTGATGCTGTTTTTGTGACAGATCTGGTCAACTTTAATTATGACATCTCTGGAACAGCAAGTCAGACATACCTGCAGAAAGAAATTGGCTGGGTGTGAGTTCTGCAAACTGTGAATCACGGCCCTGATGTCTAAATAAATCTTAAAGAAAAGTTGCTCTGGGCATGTCTAAAGCCAGTTTCAAACTGGTACAACAGGTTCTCTGGATCCTAAAGCTGGAAGACAAAAGTACACTTATAGGTCTCGGTGCGCAGATGTAAATCACGAGCGCACCGCAGCCCGCAAACCAAACAAATTATGCTTAGCTAGAAAGCAAGTCATTCATGGAATTTGTTTCTCCTAGTTCTTGAACATATAAAAAAGCATGTCTCATACTTTCCATCAAAAGAAAAAGACAGCAATAACTTAGCACAAGTTATTTCTAAATTATTAAATCTATTAAAATCTAAATAAACCATGTTTTTTTAATTTATCCAAAGGTCACATCTATATGAGAAGGCATATCCCCCCCTTCTTTTGATTGATATGTTCAGATAAAGATGATAAACAAATCCTGTTGAGATTATTTTCCCAGTTTTCAATGTGAAATTTTATCTGAATTCAAGGACAAAAGAAAAGGTTATAGACCGGTGACCTGCCACTGAGACTGAGACAATGAGCCTGGGACTCACACAGTGCAATAATCAGTGTTTCTCTGGGGCCTCTAGGTTGTCTCCCAGTAAGTAAAGGTATCAGGAAGGGTTACATTTTGCTGCATAAAACATCATCTTTTTGAGAACGGGTTTGTGACTGGGCCCAAGACAACTTCTAAACAGTGTGTGTTTTTTTCTGAACATTGAGTTGGCAAATAAATCACAAAGGGATTTTTTTCACTTTGCTGTTATCTGGCACCCTGAACGCTAAACTAACACTCAGAGATGTGTGCTTCTGTCATCATTCAAAGGTGCAGCCACCCAAGGAGACATCCAATCTGAAGGACAGGAGAGTCGCACCCAACCGCCCCAGGAGCCCACAGACAGTCAACTGCCTCGGGAGCCTGCACAGGCAAGTCAGGGTACAACCTACAAGGGCCAGTCAAACGCGACCAACACCTGGACCTGTGCCCCGTTATCTCAACCGCCTCTCTAACTGCTAGACGTTCAAGGGACACCTAGAATAAACCAAAGTGGCTACTATGGATAAATAAGTGAAGACATATCCAAACTGAAAAGGTTCCAATACCTGGAATTAAGAGAAAAAAAAAAAAGACAAGACACAGACGATTCCTCATTACCAGCCCATCTGGAACAGATGCACATATGAAATGTAACAGTATGAAAAACAAACTACCCAACCAAATTCTAGCCTCTCATGTACTGTCCTTCATTAAAAAAAAAAAAAGTAGTTCATCTATGATTATTTCATGATTATCCAACATTTGTTAAGCTTTTCCAGATTACAGGGAACCTTGTCTGAAAGGTCACAGACACTGAAAAAGAATTTAACTTATCCTTTCACCTCCGAATAGATTTGGCAGTGAAACCAAATGAGGTTGGACGTTGCCTCACGTGGCTTCTGACTACAGAGATTCTGCCTAGTTATCCACGGCAACATGGCCAAAGCGGGTGTGTGAAAGAGACAGAGACAGGCTAAGATCAGGTGTGTTCTTTTTTTAAGACAAAACACAAGCTGTAGTTTGATATTTCTAACCAAAAAAGTCTCTACTACAGAAGTTAATCACCAACTTGTTAAGTCTGGGGAGAAAACATTTGCAATAAAAATGCATCAGGCTATGTGCAAAGGCTCTGGAAGGAAGGCAAAGACACCGATGATGAAACCTGCGTGGGGAACACGTGCCCAAAGAAACCAGCAGACAGACAAAGTCACAAACATACAGCGGATCCAACAGACGGGACCCACACACCAACACAACATACGAAGGCAATGTAAATTTCAATCTACTAAGGCAATATTCTAAGCCTTCAGAAAGAACTGCTTATAAACTTGTTTGGAAGATAAGTTTAGAATTTGAGCTTTCATGTGCACCTGCTATACACAAAACTAATACTTTGGTTTATTTAATTCCCACAGGAGATTTTTGCACTCTATGAAACTTACTGCATCAAACTGGGTGAAAAAAGACTCAGTTTTCGTTTCTATATTCTCAGTGTCCGCTTTCACATCCACCATGGGGTTGAGATTCTGGGCTCGCTCCAGAGAGGCTTCAGCTCTGTTTCTGCCCACAGATCCAGTACGGATGAGGAACTGAGCTCCGGGATCTTCTGGAGATACCTAAGAATGATTTTTTTTCTTTAATACTTGAATTTGAGGTGGAAACAAATGACAACACGACAAACATTTTCCATTTTAAAGGTAGCTAAGTAACCTGTAACCTAATTTATTTCTGCAGAAATCTGCCTAATGCAGACTGCCTATCCTCTTCCTTCCTGAGGCTTTACAACAGACCCAGCTATTTCAGTTTACTGGGCATTGGTGGTTAAAGAGCACCCCCTTGTGTTTATAAAGAAAATGCATTCCAAACAGAAAGGTTCATGTTTTCTTCTCCCACTTAATTTGTAAAGGCTGACAAGTGCTATCTGCTGTGTGTCCAACTCGTAAGCATCCAGAAAAAAACATACAAAATTTCAAGAAAGTAGCCCTCTGCCCTTGAGTGATTTAAAATCAGACCAATGCAAAAATCAAAACCCTGGTGGCCCAGGGGTTAATAAATGTCAGTGCTATATCACCACTACGCCTGCGTTTGAGCTTCTGCCAGGGAACTGATCCAGGTATGATTCAGCAGACCTGCTCCCCTCAGCAAGTTTATTTCAATCAATCTGCCTGTCCTTCTCCCCACTCTGTCTGGTAAATCCTCTCGCCGCCCACATTTCTGACCTGTACACCAGTTCTTTTTTTTTTTTTTTAAAGATTTATTTATTCGTACAGAACTGGGGTACAGGCCAGAGATGCGGAGGGTGAGAGGATTCACCAGAGACAGAGCAGGGAGCAGAACAGGCAGATCGACGAAGTACACTGCTGAGGGGAGCAGCGGGCGGGTCAGGAGAGGTCTGCCTCGCCATGTGGTCACCTCCGGGGCAGGCGGGAATCGAACTCATGTGGAAGCGGCTTTTTTAGATTCTCAGTGCAGTGCTTTAACCCGCTGCGCCACCAGGGAGGGCCTGTACACCAGTTCTTTTAAGCAGAAATTAATTTTTTTTTTAGAAATAAAAAAAAATTTAATTAAAAAAAAAAAAAGGCCCTCCCTTGTGGCCCAGCGGGTTAAAGCACAGCACTGAGAATCCAAAGCCACTTCCGCATGAGTTTGATTCCCACCTGCCCCATTCCCGCCTGCCCTGGGAGGTGACCACATGGCGTGGCAGACCTCTCCTGACCTGCCCACTGCTCGCCTCAGCAGTGTACTTCGTCGATCTGCCTGTTCTGTTCCCCACTCTGTCTCTGGTGAAGCCTCTCACAGCCCCTGAGCCTCTGGCCTGCACCCCAGTTCTGTAAGCACAAATAAATCTTTAAAAAAAAAAAAAACCAAAAAAATCAGGCCCTCCCTGGTGGTGCAACGGGTTAGGACACAGCACTGTAAGCTAGCAGCAGCCATTTCAGTGAGAGTTCAATCCCCAGTCCCGGAAGTGACCCATATGGCACAGCAGACCTCTCCTGTCTCACCAGCTGCTCCCCTCAGCAGTGTACTTCATCAGTGTGCCTGTTCTGTTGAATCCTCTCACTGCCCCTGCACCTCTGGCCTATACTCCAGTTCTGTATGCATAAATAAATCTTTTTTAAAAAATCAAATACAATTGCAAATCCTTGAAATGAACTCTCAAAAAAAAAAAACCACAATGGTATTCCCTGCTGGTGCAACAGGTTATGACACAACACTAAGCTAGCCGCAGCAGCTTCAATGAGTTTGATCCCCATACCCGGAGGTGTCCACATGGCGCAGCAGATCTCTCCTGACCCGCCCGCTGCTCCCTTCAGCAGTATTACTTTGTCGATATGCCTGTTCTGCTCCCCATTCTGTCTCCAGTGAAACCTCTCACTGCCCCCTGCACCTCTGGCTTGTATCCCAGTTCTGTATGCACAAATAAATCTTAAAAAAAAACTCACAAAGGAGAGCCTCACTGTTGGCATAAGGCGTTAAGTCTCAGCTTTGTCAAGCTATCAGCAGCCACTGCAGCATGAGTTTGATCCCCAGCCACAGAGCTGACCCACAGGGCACAGCAGACCTCTCTTGTCTCACTCACTACTCCCTTCAGTGTATTTCACTACATCAGCCTGTTCTGCTCCCTATTGTCTCTCACACCCTGTACCCTCGCTCTTGTATGCATAAATAAATAAATCTTTAAAAACTCACAAAGGAGATGAGTGGGGCATGATGTTGACACGATTAGACTGTCAGCAGCACAGAGCCTCTAAAGTAAGAATCATCTGACCAACACCAAGATCATAGATCACACACACGAAGCATTTCTTCATACATGAAAACCATCAAACTGAACCATTCATCTCTCACTATGACCTTACCACTTCACCAAGACTGTGTTCAACAGAGGCAATCTTCCCTCTCACTGCTGATATGTGCCGATACATATCCTTAGTAACCTTTCCTCCAAGAAAATGAATGGGCCCTGCTCCCATTCAAGGCCAAGCTTGACTTATCCTTCCCACTTCTTCAGGTATCTTATGACATAGCAAGATGCTGTATCAGAGAGTTTTGTTAAAAGCAAGGCTCTGGGATTAATTCAGGCTGGATCTGAATCTTTGATGCCAATCTTGGCTCAATCACTTATGGTGTGACCTTGAGCGGAGGAGGGGGTGGATGTCACATGTACAATGAGGATGTTAATCAAAACAACATACATACCCTTCACTCTTGTCAGTGTTGACTATCACTATCTGCTTCCTCCCCTTCCTCCTCCCTCGCTGGACATCCACTCTCTGTATGAGCCCTGTGAGGTATCGCCATCCCCAAGACTGCAGCTCAGAACCATTCCATCACTCCTTGTTACCAGTTTGTGTACCAGTATGTACAGCTCCATTAAGCACCGCACCACCAACCTACCCCATGCCTGTTTAAGTATCTACCAAAATTTGATGTTTTTCTATTTGCTCAGAATGGAACGGACTGTTTCCTGACCCATCTGTGTCTTTCATTAACCCACCCATCAGACACATCTCCTGGGTCCCCACAGGTCTCCACTTGTGCTGTCCACTGTCCACAACATCTAACCCCCATCCCATCACTTGCCCCAAAAACCTGGTTTTCAAATCCTTGTGACTGCCTCCACAGCAGCCAGTTGGTGAGGTGACCGTGCCAGGAGTCAGACGAGCCTTTTTTTTTTACCAAGCCCACCAACTACTGACCACAGAGACACTAAAGTGCAGTAGGGATTGGAAACGAGTTAGGCCTCACAGAGGAAGGCACACTAAGGCCTCTAGGTGCCGTTCCCAGTGCTTTGTTGGTGCGGAGAGAAGGCATCACACAGGCCTCGATGCCGCTTCTTAGCCATTCGCAATTCTCAGATTCCCCAGCCAGCTGAGGACATTCCAGCTCCCATGTGGGTTCATTCTCCAGCCAACTGTAGGACCCATTCTTGCTTAGGTCTTATTCTTTCCCTCTGCACTGCAAATTCTCTCTGTAGTGTGGTGTTGCTGCCTCTAGGGGGCAGTGTGGCTGGGGAGCTGTCAAGCAGGCAGTGAGTGCTCAGGCTGTTAACTCTCTGCAGCTGACTTGTAGGAAAGTTTTAAATTCATGTCAAAATTGAACTTGGGCCCTCCCTGGTGGCGCAGCGGGTTAAAGCACTGCACTAAGAAGCTGAAACCACTTCTGCATGAGTTCGATCCCCGTCTGCCCCAGAGGTGACCACATGGCATGGCAGACCTCTCCTGACCCGCCCGCTGCTCCCCTCAGCAGTGTACTTCCTCGATCTGCCTGTTCTGCTCCCCAATCTGTCTCTGGTGAAGTCTTTTGCCGCCCCTGAGTCTCTGGCCTGTACCCCAGTTCTGTATGCACAAATAAATAAATCTTTAAAAAAAAAAAATTGAACTTGACTGTGATCTTATGTGAACCAACCAATGATTCTCTTTGTCTTGCTGTGAAACTTAATAATAAATTTATTAAAACAAGGTGCACTGTTAAAATTCCAATGTTTACTTTTGTTCAATCTACTCAGACAGGACCTTGACCTTGTTCAGTGGCAAACAGACACAATATCATGTCACAACCACCCTCTGAAGTATTTTACCTAAAATAAGATTTCTAAACTCTTTTAAAATACTGTCCAGGGCCCTCCATGGTGGCGCAACAGGTGAAATAAAGCGCAGCACTATGAAGCTGTCCACAGCTACTGCAGCACAAGTTCAATCCCTGGATAGGGAGCTGACCCACAGGGCACAGCAGACCTCTCCTGTCCCGCACGCTGCTCCCCTCAGCATTGTATTTCAGTACATCTGCCTTTTAAATAAATTTAAAAAAACAAAAAACGTATCCAGGGCCTCCCTGATGACGCAAGGGGTTAAGTCTCAGCACTATCTGAAGCCATTGCAGCATGAGTTTGATCCCTGGCCAGGGAGGTGACCCACAGGGCACAGCAGACCTCTCCTGTTTCCCCTGTACTCTCCTCAGCAGTGTGCTTCAGTCAATATGCCTGTTCTGTTCCCCTGTCTCTGGTGACTGCTCTTGCCCCCCTGCACTTCTGGCCTGTACCCCAGTCCTTATATACATAAATAAACTTTTTTAAAAAGAATAAAGTAAAAATACTACCCAAAAATTGTGGGGAAGGGATATCAGTAAAATCTTTACATGTGGGCCCTCCCTGGTGGTGGAATGTGTTAAAGCACAGCACTGTGAAACTAGCCAGATCCCTGGGTGCAGAGGGCGCAGCAGATCTTTCCTGACCCGCCCGCTGCTCCCTTCAACAGTATACTTCGTTGATCTGCTGTTCTGCTCCTCACTCTCGTCTCTGGTGAATCCTCTCACCACCCCTACACCTCTGGCCTGTACTCCAGTTCTATATGCATAAATAAATCCCTTTTTAAAAAATCTTGATATTGTACTAACATCAACTGATGTCAAATAGTAATTAATAATCCAGTAATTTTAAATTTTCTATAAATCTATGCAATTGAAGAATGAGAATATAAAGAAATCACTTATTTTCACACCTTAGAGAAAAGACAGGTCAGAGAAAGCTACACTGGAGTTGGGCACTATTATGACCATATCAACTCAACACACTGACAGTTTAAATGTCCGTACACTGAGCCTCATTCTAAGGCAGAATCACTGACGGCTACCTCCTAACAAAAACCCAATTTTGTTTTTAATGATTCAAGTGATTTCCAGGCCGAGGTCAGAAAAGCACTCCTCTAGCCCTCACAAATGCCCTCTTTACAGAGAGGCAAGCTCAGCAAGATGCCACCAGTGGCCGGCCCCAGGATGCAGAGGAGCTAGGCTTCCAGCCCAGGTGCACACCGTCAGGCTCCGTCAAAGCCAGTCTTCCTCCAGAAGGCCCAGTGGCACCTCACACAATCTCCGAACGCTTATACTGAAAGGAGAGCTTGAAGGTGAGTGATGAGGTGGCTGAACATCTCACCTGTTCATGATCCAGCATAGTGAGTCCTTTCACTCCCGCCAGGATGAGATTCTTGGCAATTTCAGCCCCAAGTCCTTTCATGCCAACAAGAAGTACTCGGGAGGCCCGCAACCTATAAGGGAGACAGTAGTGTCAAGTGAACAGGAAACATAGAAGTTTACTGAATCACTGGAAAACAGAACAAGACAAAGTAAGTGGGAAATATTTTAGGTTTTCACCAAGAATCCTAAAGCACCATGGCCACAAATCTAGGGAAAAGACGGGCTCCAGTCCTTCTAGCAGAAAGCCATTCATTCAGCGAGTATTCACTGAGTTCCTGCGGTGCCTGCCCTCCCAGAGTCACACTTTGTGAAGGAAACAGAGAAACAAATAAGAAAGCATGTGAAAAAGTGGTGTAAATGAAGCATAAGGCGAGAGATGATGGAAGATGCTAGTCAGAAGTATCAAAAAGGTCTCACTGAGGGGCCCTCCCTGGTGGTGCAACAGGTTAAAGCTCAGCAATCAGAAGCTACCTCAGCCGCTTCAGCACAAGCTTGATCCCAGACAAGGACCTGACATACAGGGCGCAGCAGACCTCGTCTGTCTCCCTGCTGCTCCCCTCAGCAGTGTGTTTCAGTACATTTGCTCCCCACTCTGTGTCTGGTGAATCCTCTCACCGCCCCCACACCTCTGGCCTGAACCCCAGTTCTATATGCATAAATAAATATT